TGTTTCATATTCGTTGTTCTTTGTATATTTAATGTATTCCAGTTACCAGTAGTTCTACTAAAGGCTCAATAGAAAAACAATTAAGTGGTCAGATACACCACCTGATTTCCTTCCTGGGGCAATTACACATATATTATCTTAATAAAGGTCTTATTTGGCTAAGAAGCAACACACTATAGGTTATAATTGGTGCAACATAAAGTTTCAAAAATGCATTTAGCACATTTCTTTTTCCTTAATATATCTTCTAGCATAGCATGTGGTGCTATTCTCAGAAGTCATTCTGGGAAATTGTGTATTAAATACTAGAGAATCTTACTCTTGTTGTGCCAAGACGCCCCAGTATAGACAGGAGATCCTGAGTAAGTATCCCTTATAAATAGTTTTGGATCTTTCTTTGCATAGTCACATAATCCAGGAAGTTCAAACATTTGTAGTGCTGAGACTGGTGGAGGAAGTGACTGTCTCTCATTTTTCTTGAGCAAGTCAAATAATGTTCTCATAAGAAACAAAATAAGTTCTTTTCAAATAGTTGATAATTACTGACAACGCCTCGCTTACCGCTGACGAGCGAGGAAACTCATGGAACTTTTGATGCTAAAACATTTGAATCATGGAGACAAGACAGGATTTGAGTTCAGGGCTTTGCAATATCTTTCCTTGAATCTTTCTCTGTCTTGTTCGTGACAGCTGGGTGTGATTAAAAAGCAGATGTTGACAGTGATGGCTGAAGCAATTGTTTTTCCACGAGGACTCTTCTAAGAATTGGATAAAGGGAATTATAGGGGAAAGTTGGGGTAGATACTGTGTGGAATCCCGAATAAGTTTGAATTGACATGGACCTTTACAGATTTCAAAATGTCAGATACCCCTCCTCCCAAGATGGATGGTTGGGGTTTTCATTTGAGACTGTTGGAGGTAAGACCTCTCAAAGACGGAGAGCAAATGAGAATAATTTCATTTTCTGCCTTATATAAAAGTGTTCCCTGCTAGCCTGATGCTTCAAGGTTAAATCATGAATGATCAAAAGTCCAAATCCTTGAAACAGATCAGAACTCAAAAGATCTGGGTTTCAATATTGCTTTTTACCCCCTAACTTAAATATGATTTTAACTGATGATAGATAAAATTCAGCCCACATCTAGGGGACACTTATTAGAGCAGTGACTGTAGAAGTTGCCAGTTGAATAAAACATAGCTCTTAGAGTCTCAGGGACCACAATTTAGGAATCAGGAAAAGAAAACATATGATTAGTTGCTGAAGAGAAATATCACCCAGCCATTAGGGGTAATAGCCCAGTTAACCCGACGAATTATGGGAACTAGATGCAGCATCTCAGCTGCTCTTTAGAAGATTGTATCCAACACTGTCATCCAGGCCAAGAAAAGGGCAAAGCCAAATGCACAGTGGTTTGGCCCTTTGAGAAACCAGTTGGAATGTTGTGATTTGAAGGTAGGATGTTGGGTTTTAACTTAGTATGAATTAGGGTAGCTTATGATTCCAGGGCTGGAGATATAGGAGTGTGATGAAGGAACATGAAGGAACAGATAGCCCGCGGAGATTCTTGACCGTATATTCTTGATATTTCAAGAAAGCAAATAAATAAATAAATAAATAAATAAATAAATAAATAAAAATAAATGTCATAGCTCTAGTCCTGAAATGATTGTCAAAATTACAGATTTTAGCTCAGACACTTACATATTAACAAACTGTGTTATTTCTAAGGTCATTTCCCAATTCCAGAATTTTGTCTAAGAGAAAATGAGAAATATATTCCTGGGTTCTTTCCAGAAGCAATTAACAGAGATGCTCAGAGAAAGGCAGAATCAAGGAACTTATTTCTTCCTCACCAGAAATTCTGTTCCCATCCTTGGAGAGAAGCTGATTTATAATTTGAAGCATGGGTTTAATAAACCAAGAGAATTGGATCCACACCCACTGTGCCATCCTGTCCTCAAGCCAAAGCAAGGTATTTCTGGGCATAAACCTCTCCAGGTTAGTATTCTGTGAAACCATTGACAGAAAAATACAACTTTCATTTTAGTGTGTCCTTGGGGACATGGTCTCATCTGGAGAATCCACATTTTGTATTGAATTTTGGATTAAATAGTGTCTTTAAATGTTAATTGGGAATTAGGCTGGTGGGCATTTATAGGAACTTTATTTTCAAAAAGAGAAGGAATTTGTTTACAACATTTGTCTAAAATGTCGTACCATGTTAAAGATTAGTCTTTTTAGGAATGTTACTATTTAATTGACTCTTCCAAGAATGAGAACATTAATTTAATTTTATAGAGTAAGTCTCATCCCAGGGGATCAATAGGCTCAAAGACTCATAAGCATCCAGCAGTTTTATTTCTCATGCTATTTCATGACATCTGTAAATTTTCACACAAAATACTCAAAAAATGTAAATACAACATTGCATGTATTAAAGAACATACTTGTTCCCCCCCCCCCACTTCAAAGAACTATGGAAATCTCTTCCCTGATACACTCCGGGTTAGAATGCCAGGTTCCCCTATAATTTGGAATTTAACTTGAAATTCAGTGAATGATTGAAATATATTTAGAGAAAAGATTTGGGGATAATACATATGATAAAAATACTTTCAGAGATTTAGGATGTTTATTTATGTAGCGAGTATAGAAAACAGAAGATATATTAATCCAATTATAATCATAAAGCTATTATTGTATCTATCTATCTATCTATCTATCTATCTATCTATCTATCTATCTATCT